TATCATCATTCATGTCACTCCAAAAAGTCCAAGATGTATTCAAGTATTACATGCTACTTACTTTTAGTACGTACTACTATTATTTATTCTGTGCTTTTAAAATATTGTAATAAAAATCTCTGATTATTATAATAATCAAGTGTGTATGAAATTTGTTTTTCAAATATTTTGTATTTATTTGTACAGCGATCTTTTTGAGCCGCTGCAAACAACCAATACAGTTCCCTATATATAATGTACTCTGTGCAATACAGTATCCACGCACAACGGCGGTTGAAGCCGAACTAAGCGAGCGAGTGAGCGAGCCACAGGCAGTCTCTGTTTTCTGAAATAAATTCTAACACAAGGCTGCGAAATCACCAAAAATTTCACCATTTTGGAGCCGAAAAAAATTAATTATAGCTAAACAAAACAAAATTACACTGCCATTTACATTGAGTGGCTTCCCACATGATAGATGAAGAGATTAAAAAATAGATTAAGTTAAACAATTGTTATTTTCAAAAGTTAGAGTGTTTAAAAGCCTTGCGGACTTGATAAATCCACACCATAAGCCACTAAAACCACTTTTTTACGTAAAAATAGCAATTAATCGATTTAAAAAAATATTAATAAGTTCAACAGTCATTTATCTTTCTGACAATGTGCTTTTTATATCATTTATATGTATAATATGATTGCTGGATACGATTTCATGCGGCAAAACGTTGGAATTTTGATTTTTAGGCGCTAGTAGAACATACCTATGCGCTTTGCGCTCGGCATGCAATACAGATCATGAACCATTATTAACATACAATTTGTCATAATCATCAACATTATATCTCTTCACAAGTCCACAGCTGTACATAGGCTTCCCTCAAGAAATGCCACAAAACACGGTCTTGGCTCATTTGCATCTAACGACTACCGGTATGTCTTAGCAGTTCGTCTCTGCATCTAGAGAGACCGCACTTCAAAACACAGTTTAATAAAGACTACATTGAACGCTGTAGTTGCAGTTTTAAATTGATTTTATTAATTAAATATTTTATCAATAATGATGAAATGGGTAGATAAGTTCTTTCGAAGCCAATTCAGCAACATAAAACATATATTCGTTCAATAATCACAGACCTGGCCTTTCACTGAGTAAAACAAACCGACTTTGACATTTGTTTTGGATAATAGAGTCAATAATATTCGTATCGAGGATTGAGGCGATTGTGACGATTAAGGCTAACCTGGCTACAACGGGAGAGAATACAGGAACAGAAATATAAACTTTTTTATTCAATATAGTTTATAAATAATGCTTATATTAAAGTCACTCTTATGTTTAAATTATTATTGGTTAGAAAATACCTCTGTCCTGGGTAGTACCAGCGAGAAACTTTTTTTTATAATAAAAGGTTTATAGTCGTGAAATTTATTCAATAATTAACAACACAAAACAATTTAAAAATAACATGGTAGCGATCACCTTATTCCCGAGGGTTATTATCATCCATAATTTTCCTCAAAATTATAATAACCCCTTTTATAAAATCTTTGTAAAGATTTTAAACTTGGCTGAACTCACCACTTCATGTGCAGCTGTGGATTTTAGGCTGTTTATGATTTGATAAATCGCGCCTAACATCTAACATTTATAAGTAAAAAAATGGTGAAATTGCTTTAAAAATGTTTGAAGTCTTCCATCCCGTACCATGTCGATCCAATGAATGTTGTTATTGTTCACCCTTATGTTCTTAGCCGCTGAGATTAAGAATTATAGCGTCTTATCGTGTGCCCTACTCGACAACTCATCGGCTATTCGCCGCAGTTACACACCGATCTAACTGAAATTATTTCGGCAAACTTTGCCTAACACCACACCCCGGAGTTAACACGCACGGCTACGCTTATATTAAACTCTATTACACATAAATCAGAGTCAAATTTGTTTCGCTCAGTGAAAGGTGGTTAAGACTTGTGATTAACGAAAACCTGGAAACTGGAAATCATTTGTGAATCTCCGAAAGGGACAGGTGATGTGATATTATGCAAATTGGTAACGCTAGAAGGAGAAGAAATGCGTGTTAACGTTGTGGCGGTTTCCCGGATAAAATTTATACCGGGATGAAACGATTTATTACAAAAGCGTTGAGTAGGTACCTACCCGAAATTAATTACACTAAGTTTTGCTTTCATTTTGTGCCATTGTGGAAGATTTCCCTCGTCTTGTCGGCGCATCGGTTTTTATTGCGGGGATGACAAAGGAAATTTCGAGGTGGATATAAATGACTTCGGGATACTTATATTTTGGTTTAAGCACCGTATTGTATGATGTTGACTTTATTTTTTTTGCACTTGGTAGATCTTTACTATGTAGTTATGTTGTGGTTGTAGCATGAATGGATTGGTTTGACCGGGGAAACACAACCCTTTTACAGTATATCGGCGTAAAATAGCAGCTTAATGCTGCTGTGTTTCGTATGGTGAGTGTAGAGAAATCAAAATTCCTTTTACTGGTAGCGAGGCATTTCATCATAGGCCTCACGGGTGACAACACATCGGCATTTTGATTCTTAATCGATGATAGATATAGATGTTTATGGATCACATAATCCACTTATTATCAGGTGGAATGTGTGCTTGTTTGTCACATTTATACTTAAAAAAAATTATTATATTATGGTTGTAGGTAAGTATGGTAAATATATAAAATATGCATATATGGAAAGACCTATGTTTAGCGCATGGCACTTGAGAGGAGGGGAATTAGCAGGGAATTTTTAAGGCTGTAATGAATGAATGGATGAATAATATGTTTGTATTTGCGTCACTATGTATAATTTAGTTAAACAATATTTTTATCAGAGTAAAAGTGACAATGCCGTGTAGTGGCGGTTAAGAATATCCACTACCCCATATCTTCCCGTGGGTGTCGTAAAAGGCGACAAAGGGAAACAGGCAGGAGATGGGCAGCAGCATCTTCCTGATAACAGAAAATTATAATAATAATAAAAAAAAACTGCAGTTGGCAACCCGCTCGCCAAGCGTGGCAACTATGGCAAATACCCCCCATGACAAAATTTACAAATAGACGGCCCCCAGTCCCCGGCGGCCCCGCTATTCCTGGCTACGGTGGCGACCATGGTAACGGCGGGGCAGAGGGTGCTAAGAATCTCCGGTGGAGGTTCGGTTGCCACCTACGACGACTCGACCTGGCAACTTATAACGCACGCACCCTGAGGACTGACGAGAAGATCCTGGAGCTGGAAGAAGAGATAGACAAGTGGCGCTGGAATGTTATGAGATTATCCGAAGTCCGAAGAGAAGGGGAGGACACGGTAATCCTCGAATCCGGCAATTTGTTCTATAATTGCCAGAAAGAGCCAACTGTCGAAGCTAAAGACTGAGTGTGGCAGCGTCATTTCCGGGACACCTGAGATTTTGAGTGAGATTGAGAGGTTCTATTGGCAGCTGTACACATCATCGTTGGAGGCACACGTAAGTGTGAGTAACGATGCAAGAGCGAGTCTTATCCGACACTATTTCCATGATATCCCGGACGTCAGTCTGAGCGAGATTAGAATGGCTCTCCAGCACCTTAAAAACGGCAAGGCCCCAGGCGAGGATGGAATTACAGCGGAGCTTCTGAAAGCGGGTGGAAAACCGGTACTTGAAGTCCTACAGAAGCTCTTTAATTCCGTCCTCCATGGTGGCACTACAACGGAGGCGTGGAGCAGAAGTGCGGTGGTCTTATTCTTCAAGAAAGGTGACAACGCTCTCTTGAAGAACTACAGACTAATTTCCCTTCTGAGCCGCGTCTACGTGCTGTTTTCGAGAGTCATTACGAATCGTCTCGCGCGCAGACTTGACGACTTTCAGCCTCCCGAACAAGCCGGTTTCCGAAAAGGCTTTAGCACCATAGACCACATACATACCCTTCGGCAAATTGTACAGAAGTCCGAAGAGTACAATTTGTCACTATGTCTGGCGTATGTGGACTATGAGAAAGCCTTTGATTCCGTCGAAATTTGGGCGGTGCTGCAGTCCCTTCAGCGATGCCAAGTTGACTGTCGGTATATCGAAGTGCTGAAGTGCTTGTACAATAGAGCTACGATGGCTATCTGAGTACAGAACCAGAGTACGACACCTATCCAATTACAGAGAGGTGTAAGACAGGGTGATGTGATATCCCCGAAACTCTTCACCGCTTCATTGGAAGACGTTTTCAAGCTTCTGTACTGGAAAGGATGCGGTATTAACATCAATGGCGAGTACATCACTCACCTTCAATTTTCCGACGATATAGCCCTTATGGCAGAATCGCTGGAGAACCTAAGCACTGTGCTCAATGACCTCAATAGTGTTTCCCAACGAATAGGTCTTAAGATAAACATGGACAAAACAAAGATCATGTTTAATGTCCATGTCACACCTATCCCGGTAGCTGTTGGGGACACTAAGCTTTAAGTTGTTGACGAGTATGTTTACCTGGGACAAATAGTCCGACTAGGTAAGTCCAACTTCGACCGAGAGATTAATCGGCGTATTCAACTCGATTGCCAGCGTTCGGGAAATTACGGCACATCTTCTCGTCAGGTGTACCTCAAAACTTGAAAACAAGACTGTACAACCCGTGCGTGTTGCCAGTGATGACTTATGGTACTGAGACGTGGTCCTTCACTGTTGGCCGGATGAGGAAGCTCAAGGTGATCGCTACCAAGCTATTTCTAATTTGTTTTGTGTAGTTAACTGTGTAACATAGCATAATATTATGATTGTAAACTGTTCTTTTTTTTTCCACAAGAAATGTCTTCGTTGTTCACAGAGGTATATCAGAACCAGTGGCTATTAAATAAAAGAGTGACTTTCAATAAGTATTATTTATCTATATTGAATAAAAAAGTTTCTGTTACTATAACATTTTGTTGCAACATTATATTTATTTATTTTTAGTCCAGTTGTATATTTTTACTTAGCTCTAAGCACCTTAATCATTAATATTAAGGTCATTAACCTCGGCTTACGATATCGCACGATGCAGCGACGTCCGGTTCCGGTGCGGTGCCGCGACCCACTTCCGGTGTCCGGCCGCTGTGACGTCATAACCGCTGCGAACGACGCACTTCCGCTGTTGTTTACCGTCACCTCCTGCAATAAGATTGTTTCAGATGAATTATAAAGATAATTGATACTTGAAATTTATACTGAAAGGAAATAGGGTTATCCGTTCTCGAGTAAAATATCGCAAGACAAGACTATTGTCAGATACATACATTATCTAGATCTAGAAAAATAACGTTAATTTTAACTTTTTTCGCCGAAAACTAAGCGATTTTTCATTTAACTTTCATGTCATAACATGTGTCATAAGTATGTGTTTCTATACGCTATGTAGTGGGAGTGTACGAGAATCCACTATTCCATATCAACCTACACATAAAAGAGGAAATAGACAACTAGGATATACACAAAATAATGCGGTTGCCAAAATAATAAAAAACTTTGGTTGGCAATCTGCCTGCCAAGTATGGCAACTATAGCGGAATCCCCTCTATCAGGCAATATATGGGAGAGGCTTATGTTAAGTATTGGACTTTTAAGGCTGTGATGAATGAAAAAATGCCTGCTACGGGAGAGGTTCATGTGCAACAGTGGGCTTTTATGGGTTGATGATGAAAACGAAGAAGAATGTACAGCGTTCGTGTAAGTATAAGAAATCATCACAGTATACAAACAGCAACACTAGCTTTAACGTGGTTTTGCCGCTAAACAGCAGTGCTTGCACTCCTGTGTTCCTAAGGCTAAGGGTAAAAGGGAACCTGAGAGTGGCGGTACGTAGGCTCAAGGCCAGGAATACCGCCCCAGGACCCGATGGCTTGCCTGGCAAAGCCTGGGTCCTGGCCTCGGAGGCTCTCGGGCCCCGACTGGAGGGGCTCCTAAGCGCATGCTTGGAGAGAGGCCAATTCCCGCTTCGTTGGAAGACGGGGAAGCTGGTCCTCATTCGGAAGCCGGGGCGCCCTGCGGACTCTCCGTCCGCATACCGGCCCGTGGTGCTGCTCGACGAGGTGGGCAAGCTCTTTGAAAGAGTAATTGCAAACCGCCTCGCCGAGCACCTTGCGGGGACGGGGCCGGATCTTGCGGAACACCAGTTTGGTTTCCGCAAGAGGCGCTCTACGGTGGACGCCATCATGCGCGTGAGAGCCCTCACGACGGGGGATGCAGTGGCCAGGGGGGGGGTTGTCTTGGCGGTGTCTCTCGACATCGCCAACGCCTTCAACTCCATGCCCTGGAGCTGCATTAGGGAGGCACTCCGGTATCACCGGGTGCCGACCTATCTCCGTCGTATAGTCGGGGACTATCTGACGGACAGGGCCGTCATCTACCCCGGTCGAAACGGAGAGTGGAACCGGCGAGAGATGTCGTGCGGTGTCCCACAGGGTTCGGTTCTGGGGCCGCCCCTGTGGAACATCGGTTACGACTGGGTGCTGCGCGCCGACCTCCCTACCGGCGTCAGCGTAGTTTGCTACGCTGACGACACGCTGGTACTGGCACAAGGGGGGTCGTACGAGGCGGCGGCGGAAACTATGACACGCGGGGTTGCGATAGTCGTTGAGAGGATCCGGCAACTGGGTCTCGAGGTGGCTCTGCACAAGTCCGAGGCCATGCACTTCCATGGTCCTCGGAACAGGCCACCACCGGGATCCTCAGTGATGGTAGGAGGGGTATCCATCGGCGTCGAGTCGACGTTGAAGTACCTAGGACTCGTCCTCGACGGCCGATGGAACTTCGTTGAGCACTTCCGACGTTTGGCTCCCAAACTGGAACGGACCGGGGCTGCCTTCAGGCGGCTCCTGCCGAACCTGGGGGGGCCAAACGCCTCCTGCCGGAGGCTCTACGCGGGGATCGTGAGGTCCATGGCCCTTTACGGGGCCCCGGTGTGGGCGCGTGGTTTGGCGCGGCTTGCCGTCCACCACCTAAACGCGCCCCAAAGGGTGGTTGCCGTAAAGATGGTTCGCGGCTACCGCACGATCTCCCGCGAGGCGGCGAGCCTCCTTGCCGGATTGCCGCCATGGGATCTGGAGGCGATAGTCCTCGCGCGCCTGCACGAATGGCGCGCGGCAGCACTATGCCGGGGGGAAACCCGGCTGCCGCGGCAAGTTGTCGCGCAGCGGACAGACTTCCGGCATGATCTCATGGCGACATGGAGAGAGCGACTGTCGCAACCCCGTGCTGGGCACGCCACTATAGCGGCGATAAGACCCCTCTTTGAGGAGTGGCTTGAGAGACGCCACGGCGTCCTCACCTTCCGCCTGACGCAGGTCCTCACCGGACACGGTGTGTTCGGGAGGTTCCTGCACCGAATCGGGCGGGAGGAAACGCCCGGGTGCTCCCACTGCGAGGATCGACCGGAGGACACGGTGGAGCACACCGTGGAGGTGTGCTCTGCTTGGGCGGAGCACCGCCGTGTCCTCGTAGCGGCGATAGGCGGCGGCGACCTCTCGCGTCCGGCTCTGGTCGAAGCCATGGTCCGGAGCGAGACGGAATGGGATGCCGTCACCACCTTCTGCGAAGCAGTGATGCTAGCGAAGGAGGTGGCGGAGCGGGAGAGGGAAAGAGCAACAGCTTTCCTTCCCGGCCGCCGCGGGAGACGCCCCGGGCGTCGGGGGCTACGTCGTGGCCCCCGACCACCGTAGGCGCGGGCCTGTGGACGGCGAGCAATGGGTAGCTCGCCGTCCGTCCGTCTAACGACGACAGGCCGTGTCGACGGCGCGTTTTGTTCCACGCGCGCCTCAAAGAGCTGTCAGCAGCGTGAAGGGGCCCGCAAGGGCCGACGCCTGCCGGGGCTGCGGGCTGTTCGAAAGAGATACCGCGGCTCCGGAACGTAAGGGCACTGAAGGAACACGGATGGTTTTTAGTCAGTAAAAGTCTGACACTCCCTTCCGCTCCACCCACAGCGAAAGGCGTCATTAGATGATTTTCCATCCGCAAAAAAAAAAAAAAAAAAAAGGGTAAAAGGGAGAAAGTGTTACAGACTTTGAGTGTGTGATCTTATTACCCAGAAGTGACAACGCAATTGGATTGCTGTAGCCATTTACTATCGGATGGGTTGGAAGTTCGTTTGTCATTTTAGTTTTATAAAAAAAATAACGTTTTATAGTTTAATCTTTATTGCCGACATGAAGAAAATTTGTAATTGCAAGTTCAAATTAGACGATTAATAGTAAGTTTATAGACTGTTTATATTTAATTGTGTAATTTTCTAAGATCTGTATGTTAGCTCAAATTTAAACCTTTTTAGGGTTCCGTACCCAAAGGTTAACCAACAGATCCCTAATATTAAGCTTTCGCTTTCCGCCCGTCTGTCTGTCAGCGGGCTGTATCTCATCATCTGTAATAGGTAGACAGTTGAAATTCTCAAAGAATGTGTTTTTCTATTGCCGCTATAACAAAAAGTAATAAAAATAAAAATAAATTAAAAATTAAAGGGGGCTTCCCTTCCTGAAACGTGTTTTACAATAGTACGGAACCCTTCATGCGCGAGTCCGACTCGCACTTAGCCGGTTTTTTAATAGAATAAGAGTGACAAACGAGCACACAGTTCATACGATGGTAAGTGGATGTTGTGGCCAATAGACATCTACATTTATACTCGATTAAGTCAAATGCAGATACGTAGTCACCCTTGAGATAGATCTCATAGATGGAATGTCCCGTTTCTAGTAAAATGGGGCCCCAACCTTTGTTTATTCTAACATTACTAACGTATAATATATTCGCCTATGATGAAACAGCAATTTATTTGTCAGTTGCATCGATCAGACGTGGTTTGGATCACGTAATCATCAAACGCAGTGAGCGCGGAGAAAGTATGTAGCAAGGAGGGTGCATTTCATGAATATGGATGAGGGCGGGCGGCGCGCCGGCGGCGCGGGGGTGGGAGGGCGCCGTGTAAATGGAAATTTCAAATAAAAATACCTCAAATATTAACATGAGCTCGATTCGTGTTTTCCCGAGTTTTTTTTTAACGTGGACGGGACACGTGTGATAACACGACGGTCAAGCTCGCTGTTTGTTACGCAGATTCACTTTTTGAGTTATGAGTTGGCTCTCTGCTGCGGGGTTTATTAATGAGGCGGTTGTGTTGTGCGCGGTCTGGTTTGTCTAATCATTGTGTTCTCGTGGTGTTGTAAATCTGTGGATGTGTTAAATTTTAACAGACGATAATGTATACCGATTATTTGTTTTAAGTGGAACTGTTGTAAAATTTGTTATTTCTTTATAGAAGACGACAAGCATGCGGCTCTCCTGAGAGTAAAAATCAACCACCGCCCATGAACTACTGCAATACCCGGGGAATCTCAGATGCGTTGCTGGCCCATTAAAAAGGAGTAATCTCGTTTCTTGAAGATCGTATCGGTTAGAAAAAATCGCCGGTGGTAAACAATTTCACAAAGGAATGGTTTGGGGAAGAAAACTCCTAGTAAATCAATGGTGGACCGCCAAGCATCCAGATGATGTGGGTGGTAACGTGAGTTTTATAGTTGTTATTATGGCTAAAGCTTAAATTATAACGAAATGAAATATTTACTGATTTATTACATAAAGTAAGTTAATATTTATTAAGTTATTATTGGGCTTAAAATACTCGTACAATCTGTTTCACGAAAGTAGTCCTGCGGAAATATGATAACTAATTTGTCAGTAATAGTCAAACTACGCGAAGGATTTGGTATCGCAGATATGGAACTTTTTTCAAGGGAAAGACCCTTCTCAAATCATAATAAAAACTATAGATTATCATTAATATAAGTAGTAAGACGGTTGCTGTCTTAATGATTGAAATGATTTAGAAGTCAGCTTAAGCTATCAATAACCCTTATAAAATCTTCTTAAACCTTAGTTTAATACCATGTTTAGTAATAAGAACGTTACATAGGGCTAACTTATTTTTTTTATAGGAGATTAGTCAAACGAGCATACGGCTCACTTGATGGTAAGTGACTACCGCTGCCCACAAACAATTGCAACACTAGGGGAATTGCAGATGCGTTGCCGGCCTTTTAAAAAGGAGTAGGCCCTTTTCTAGAAGGTCCCTAAGTCGTGTTGGTCCGGAAAAATCGCTGATGGTAATCGATTCCACAAGGTTG